CACAATTTTGAAATAGAAAAATATTACCAGCAAGGCATTTTTCGAAAAAAAAAACATTATCAGCAGTATATTTTTAGTAAAAAAATATTACCATCAACACATTTTTAGAAAATGTATTATTAGAAAAAAAATATTACCATCTGTATATTTAAAAAAAAATATTACCAATATTACATTTTTGAAAAAAAAAATATTACCATGAACAGATTTTTAGAAAAAAATATTACGAGCAATGTATTATTAGAAAAATATATTACCAGCAATATATGTTTAGAAAAAAAAATATTACCATCAACACATGTTAGGAAAAAAATATTACCAGCAATACATTTTTAGAAAAAAATATATTACCATCAGTATATTTTTAGAAAAAAAGATATTACCAGCAATAGATTTCTAGAAAATCAATATTACCATCGATACATTTTTAGAAAAAAAATATTACCAGCAATGCATTATTAGAAAAAATATTACCAGCAATATGTTTTTAGAAAAAAAATATTGCCATCAACATATTTTTAGAAAAAAATATTACCAGCAATACATTTTTAGAATGAAAAATTAATTACCATCAGTATATTTTTTAAAAAAAGATATTACCAGCAACATATTTTTAGAAAAACAATATTACCATCAATACATGTTTAGAAAAAAATATTACCAGCAATACATTTTTAGAAAAAAAAATATATTATCATCAGTATATTTTTAGAAAAAAAGATATTACCAGCAATAGATTTTTAGAAAATCAATATTACCATCGATACAATTTTAGAAAAAAAAAAAAACAGCAATGCATCATTAGAAAAAATATTACCAGCAATATATTTTTAGAAAAAAAATATTGCCATCAACACATTTTTAGAAAAAAATATTACCAGCAATACATTTTTAGAATGAAAAATTAATTACCATCAGTATATTTTTAGAAAAAAAGATATTACCATCAATATATTTTTAGAAAAACAATATTACCATCAATATATGTTTAGAAAAAAAAAATTACCAGCAATATATTTTTAGAAAAAAAATTATTACCACCAACACATGTTTAGAAAAAAATATTACCAGCAATACATTTTTCGAAAAAAAATATATTACTATCAGTATATTTTTAGAAAAAAAGATATTACTAGCAATATATTTTTAGAAAATCAATATTACCATCGATACATTTTTAGAAAGAAAAAATATTACCAGCAATGCATTATTAGAAAAAATATTACCATAAATATATTTTTAGAAAAAAATATTGCCATCAACACATTTTTAGAAAATAAATATATTACCATCAGTATATTTTTAGAAAAAAAGATATTACTAGCAATATATTTTTAGAAAAACATTATTACCATCAATACATGTTTAGAAAAAAAAATATTAACAGCAATATATTTTTAGAAAAAAAATATTACCAGCAATACGTTTTTGAAAAAGAAAAATATCCCCAGCAATACATTCAAAAAAAAAAATATTGCCAGTAATACATTTTTGGAAATGTAATTAAAATCTAGTCGGCATTAAATGAAAAAAAAAAAAAAAAAAAATAACACCTAAAATCTTTAAAAATTTAAATGCAATGCCAATCGCCATTTATTTCTTGTCTTTCTAAACACTATTTGTTATTTTCATAAAGTATTCTTATTCTATTTCGCTCCCAGTACCCCACTGCGTCTTAGTCGTATTATCGCCTTGCTTGGGGTGAAATGATAAAAAAATCTTTTGTCCATGTCAGCCAGATTTTTAGCCCTACGGAAATGACGTCATAACGAAGTGTTTGAAGAAATAAGTTTCGGTCAGTCAAAAAGCTTTTTACTATTTTGTCCATTTCTTCGTAGTCTTCTTCTATATGTCGTGTCCCTTCAGGACGTTGGCGATCACGGCTCTCCATAATTTCTCGTCCTTTGTAGCTCTTAGTAATTTGTGCCTGTTTGTTATCATTCCTAAACCCTGTTTTGCCATCCATTTACTCATGCTCTCTTGGTAGGTTGTACGCTGTTTTCCTCTGTTCCCGGGCCTTCACTATGTCCCATGGGTGTCAAATTTTCCAACCGTTCTTTCTTCATTATATGACCTAGAATTTTAAACGGTCTATATATGATGTTAAGCATAAGTGTTCTTTTCGTTGCTTTGATGTTCAGTCCATGGTATTCTCAGCATCCTTCTGTAGAGCCATATTTCTATCGCCTTACTCTTCATCTTCATCTGTGCGGAGATTATCCAGCATTCACTGCCATATACGAGGATACATATTACATAACACTTCAGTACACTTTACTTTGTTTCTAACGAAATTTTCCTGTTTCTTAATATTTTGCATCGCTTTAGGAAGGCATCTTTCGTTATCCTAATGTGTCTTTGGATTTCGGTGTCACACTTTCTGTGCTCTGTTAAAACATTTTCCAGTTATTTAAATTCTTTTGTTTGATTTTGGCATCCCCAATTTCTAATTTGCATGTTGGGCTGTTCCCTTTTGCTGACAATCATGCATTTTGCATTGCAGTTTCCTTTCACTCTAGAAATTTCGAGATTCTCAAAACTTTCAAAGTTACAGTGACGCCAAAACCGATGCTTCGGGAGAAACTTTAATTTTTTTGACGTTGAAAGAAAGGGTCAAATAAATAAATAAATAAATAAACCACTTTCAAAAATAAATTTGTTTGAAAACATTCTTACTAATTTAATTACTATCGTCCATTCGGTCCTAAATTATTATTCCAGTAGAAGTGGAGAGAGTATGCGGACATTAGATCGAAACAGTTGAAATAATGATCTTTTTAAAAACTACAATTTGAAAATGTAATTTTTGGATCTGATAATCTTCAAGATCGGATCAGAAAAGGGCATGGGTTGTTAATCCCTATTTGTCGTAAAGTAAGACCGTAGAAAATCATATTTCATGACCGCGCTCTCTGAGGAAAAAAATCTTCTGGTTCTTTGAAATCTCTTCTCTGTTTGGAAAATCATTATTGCAATTTTGATCTTCGTTATAATCGTGTTTCTTACAATGTATTTCCCAACTTATATTCTTTAGTTCCACAAGTTCAAGCCATTACAGCCAGGATCCGTCTTAATCTGCCCGCCGAGATGATTTTCCCATATTCCTCACCGTATTCCATTTGTAGGGCGGAATTTCCATTTGGACAAATTCTTCCTAATAATAATTCCCCAGATTCTACAAACATAATTTCATGAAGTCTAAGATAAATTACTTCCTATTCTCCATATCCTCATAATGTTTCCACCGAGTCTAAAGAACTCAGCCTTCCTTGCTATTAACCCATAGCTTGGGGATAAGAAAGGGATTTCTACTTTTCCTAAGCGTAAGTAAGCCCAATTCTTTAAGAGTTCCGACCCTAAACATTGCAAGTGATTGTGTATATAATTGATTTGGCGCCTTACCAAAGACGATTTAATTCAAGAGAATAGCAACTGTTTTTCTCTTCGGCCTTCTTAGATATTTAGAAATATAACACTTTTCAGCTTTGCTACCTTTTTTTTTATTTACAAAACTCGAGTCGCAAAAGACAGATTTCGAGATGTGAAATGAAGACACAATCAAAGTTCCAATTTGAACAATCACCTTTTATTTGAATAAATACTATATTTCACCGATCTCGTAGACATATCCGTAATTTATCAAACCTAATTTTAGTGAAACGTACAAAAATTCTTTCTCTATAATTAGGTGTAGACAATCAAAACCGTTGAATATTCTAGTCTCGAAAATACAGCGCCAATTTGCAGGATTAATTCTAGTAAAAGTCTGTTACTTTCATTTCCATCTTCTTAAAATTTCTGAGAACCATTACTTTAAAACCTCGTCTCTTTGCGATATTCTTGAAAACATTATTTAAACAGCTTAGTCTCTTTGGAGTAAAACTAGTTTAAAATAAACTGATTTTACCAGCTAAAATAACACTCAGCCTGAGAAAATATCGTCAGGCAATGGAAGAAGAATTGATAAAATATTCCAATTTTCGGTAATTAGTGGTTTGTCGGGATTTTAAATTGGCTTCAGCAGAGTTGAGAAAATCTATAGAGAGTGAATAAAATTGCTTTTGACAAAAAGTCCTAAGTGGATTTGCGAGGAGGATGGGTATTTTTTGATTGAATGACATGAGCCTCGTTTTCATTTTAAATTGGCGATTAGATTAAATCAAGGCCATTTTATTTAATCAGCCCAGTTATTAGTGGACGATAAGCAGGAAGTGACCCATCACGAAGACTTAATGTGTCAACCAATAAGTGAGACAACATCAGGCTTATCAAATTCCATATTACCATTATCTTCCCGCTAAAGAATTCTTTGGGATTTATCTACCTGCTTTTCTTTCTTTCTGTCTTTTTTTTTTTTTCTATATTCTATTTCAGGAGTTTCTTCATTTTCTTTTGTTGATTTTTAAGCACAACTTCAGATTATTACTCCAAGATGGCGTGAAATAGAGTCGAAAACTAAAGAGGACTCTGTGGGTACTGACTAACCAAACAAAAACTGAAGAGAATATCTAATTATGAAAATTATGAGAGTCTTATATCCAGACGTTGTCGACGATAGATGCGGTCCCTTTGTAGTTGATGCAAGTTCCAATCTCGTTCGGAGTTAATATTATATTTTGAATTTGCACAATTTATTGACCAGAACATGAAGCAATAAATTGGGATAACACCAGGACCTTGCCCGGTAGCTTAGAAACTTATGTCATATAAAGCAATTTCCGAAAACGTTGGAATCAAGACTAGATAAAATGGAAATTTCACAAGAGTGTAGAGACCATGGCTTTTACCGATTACAAAATAATACTGAGAGAGGTGCTGGAGATTAGAGGATAATTGCCAGCGATAAGCAAACATTCGGTTTGAACAGGAAGTTATTAAACATGATGATTGCAATAAAAAAAAAAAATCATCATGTTCTTAAAAGCACAAAAAGTAAAAAAAAAAAAAAAAAAAAAAGATAGAAAAACTAAAGTAAAGGGAAGAACGGGAGTAGGTAGATCATGTTGCGCCATTTTTCTTGCTTGCTAGGAAAATCCCTTTCACAACTCGCACACTTTACTCTCTCTCTCTCTTCTTCTATCTCCTCCTCCTCTCCCTCTCTCCCCCTCTCCCCCTCTCTCTTCCCTCTCCTTCTCCCTCCCCGCTCCCCTCTCTCTCTCTCCCTCCCTCTCTCTCTTCCCTCTCCCCTCCCCCTCTCTCCCTCCCTCTCTCTCTTCCATCTCGCTCCCTCCCTCCCTCTCTCTCTCCCTCTCTCTCTCCCTCCCGCCTCTCCCCCTCTCTCCCTCCCCTCCTTCCCTCTCGCTCTCCCCCTCTCCCTCTCTCTTCCATCTCGCTCCCCCCCCTCTCCCCTCTTTCTCCCTCCCTCTCTCTTCCATCTCCCTCCCTCTCTCCCCTCCCCCCTCTTTCTCCCTCTCCCCCCCTCTCCATATATATATATATATAAGGATCAGACTGTACAAGGATCCCATTTATGCAGACAGGAGAAGAAGATAACTGTTAACCCAGACTTGAACAGGTTAAATCTCTATTGATGGGGGAAATATCCTCTTGGGTGTCGTTTCCACAGAGCGGGGAAAAGCCTTTGCCAGTGGAACTTACTTCTCACCAAATAAATACAGAGGGAATGAACGTGGTTCGCCACAAAGCGAGTAACATGGCGGGTCCTACTCGTAAAGGTTCGAACTGGCAGAACCAAGGAACGCAGTTTGCCCGAGCACTTTCCATGGAGCAGTGAGAGACTCGCCCTATCACGCCTGTGAGAGAGGGGCGTAAATTTGTAAGGACTCTGAAACGCTTTTGGACTCTGTCAGGGAGTAGAAACTAACAACCGGGCAGATTATTCCATTTTAGGCCTGATCTGAGTGGATATATATATATATATATATATATATATATATATATATATATATGGTTGGATAGATGAGAGTTTGTGACCCTTGAGCGCTTTCTAATAAGTACCGCGCATATAATATATAAATAATTATACATATATATATTTATTTATATTTATATACACTTTTCACACACACACACACACACACACACACACACACATATATATATATATATATATATATATATGTGTGTGTGTGTGATGAATATTAGGAGGATTTGAGATACTCATAATTAAGTAATTCATCGAGTTTAGATGAAACCTCAACAGAATGCAGAAAGCACTGAACGTCCTATATTTGGGACTCATAGCAGTATTTTAATTTTACTATACATATATATATATATATATATATAATTAAGTAATTCATCGAGTCTAGAAGAAACCTCAACAGAAAGCAGAAAGCAATGAACGGCTGTTTTGTCCTATATTTGGGACTCATAGCAATATTTTATATATATATATATATATATATATATATATATATATATATATATATATATAATTACGTAATTCATCGAGTCTAGAAGAAACCTCAACAGAATGCAGAAAGCATTCGTCCTATATTTGGGACTCATCAGCAGTGCGCATCCACTACCGAGAATTGAAACACGATAGTTGCGTTACCAGGCAAGCGTCATACCAACTGTACCAACGGGCCTCGATGACGAAGAGGTAGCGAATCAGACTCGATATAGCGCCGCTCGTTCACATATCCCGTGGTGGAACTCATCCGAGTTTCTCTTTTACCCATAGGACTGTGTCCCCACGAGCCACGACTACTATCCCTAAGCGGCTCCACCCAGAGCATTAGAAGCCGGTTCAAGCAAGGATATACAAGTAATAGAAATTGGTATGACGTTTACATGGTAGACTCAATGAAATATTTTATTTACAGAGCATTAATATTATAAATTAATTGATTTAAAATATGTTTTTTCGCTACACAGTTCTAACCCTGTTTCAAAAAAAAATATATATATGTAAGAAAATATATGGATATAGATCCGACAGCATGAAGAAAAATATACGGAAAAAACAAACAAAAATCTTAATATGCAATTATACTGTTTTAATGTTAATATAATGTCAACGTCGGACGTTTCGGTCTAATAGAGCATCTTCAGGACATATTCATAAAACATAATTAATATAGACCATATACAATTCAACATGAAAAAGACGATGGACATAAAAGCAATACCAATCACAACAGAAAACTGAAAGCAGAAAATAAGATCAGCGTTCCGTTTCAATATGATCACGTCGTCGTCACGTGGGCGATGTTGTGAAAACGTATTCCTAAAATTTGAGTATTTTGACAGAAAAACGAAAAGAATTTTATTTTGATCTAAAACTTATATGCACGTTTGTCGAGCATTAATCTTGCTAGAAAAGGGGAAATATTAAAGAAGTCAGGTCTAGTGTTCACCTTGCGGATTTCCCTTAGGCAGATTTATGAAGCAGGCATAATATCTATCTCACGCATGTCTATTATGTTTAGCCATGAGCCGTTCTAAGCCTCGTATAGTTGTTTTAATTTTGGGAGAAAATAAAGACAAAAATTGTCCAACAATTAGATAATTCTTTATTATGCTGTTCCTTGATCTAGGCTTTCGGCTCACATAAGCCATCTTCAGAGTGGTTACATGGACAATTAAACAAAGATATTCTGTTATGTCGACATAGAAGTTCACTATGCGTTAATAACAGTCATAGAATAGCAGACGTAAATACACACAGTAAAAATAACCTTAAGATATTAGAGGCCATCTACATGAAAACAAAGCAATCTACACTCAACAAAATTACATCCCAAACTAGTCACAACACATTATAAAGCATCTAAACATATGGTTTTGTTGTTAATATTTCGGTCTCTGACGTCATAGAACTGCATCTCGAATTCACGACCTGTGTCTGATCGAGGAACAGAATAATAAAAAAATATCTAAATGTTGGACAGATTTTGTCTTAATTTTCTCCCGAAATTAAAGCCACTATACGAAGATTAGAACTACTCATGATCAAACATAATAGACATTCACTGACTGTTATATTCAACAATGTTTGAAAATGACCTGCTGCCCCAAAACACTATATATATATATATATATATATATATATATATATATATATATTATTTTTATATACCGTCATCCACAGACAGACTAATTCGCTGTATCACAGCCCATCAATGTGTGATTAGACATCCGATCATTTAAAGCCGGTACCGAAACCCTACTGATCTGGCATCAGTCGGAGATTCTAATCCCTTGGCTATCTATCTATCTATCTATCTATCTATCTATCTATCTCTCTCTCTATATATATATATATATATATATATGTTGAAATGGATTAAGTTTGACAATTATTGAATATATTATCTGTTTATCTATGAAAAATAAC